TATGTCATCCAGTGCCTAGTTCGGCACATGTCAAAGCCAACGAAACCCGCCTTTGAAGAATGCGTGGCACACCTGTTCATACCTCTTCGGAACAAGTGGGTGCGGCGTGAGCTTGGAAGAGCCAAAGAAGGGCCAATCTATGATGGACTTCCGGTTTCTTGATGAAGTCGAAGATGCTGACGAACATTTGCTGGTGATTGTGACGGAATCGGACCATGTCGGCAACAAAAATGACCGGAAACCGGCATCTTCGATGCAGGCGTTTGTGGATGGCAACCTCATTGACAGCAAGGTGAGAAACCAAAAACCAATTGCTGGTGCTTCTGGTGCTTCTGGTCAGGGTGAGTTCATGGCGTTGGTGGCTGGATGCTCCCAGCGCATGTTGGTGCGACACCTGTGGAACAAGATCGCAGGAGGCTCCTGCCAGACCAAAGCCAGATCCGACAGCTCGGCCGCTCGAGGAATGACCCAGAAGCAGGGATTGGACGTGTCTTGGGATGGAATCGTAGGAGCGTGACAAGATCCTTTCAGTGGTAGCCCTACAGATCTCAACAGTGCAGACATTGGCACTATGTGGGGTACCGCCTGGGTGAAGAGGAGTTCTGTGAGATTGAGGTGGGGAAGACCTACATAAATGTGCCGCTGGAGATAGTGGATCAACAGACCCAGGCCACCTCCTGGGTAGACCGCCACTACCTGGCTGACTACGAGGCCAGGTACAGTCTGTCATACACACTCTAGATGTCTACACGCCGATGGCCGCAATAGGATGCAATAGGCCCAAACTGTTTTCGCCGAAAACGAACCCGCACCTTTTCATTGTTTTTCAAACCCTCCAGAGTTTCCACCCGCAAGGCTGACACGCGCAAATCGAATGTACCAACTTGTATAGGCCCGCCCTGGTCGTAAGAACCGGGCTCTGCTACCCACGTTTTACGACTTTGCGCCGCCATAGGGGTGGTTGCAAGGGAGCCGCATCCACAGGGTTCTGGATCACCGAACTGCTCCTTCTCGCGTGGGGATCACTTCGACCGTTCTGTCCACGTTGTAATGCAAGAAATGCTTGCCATTGC